CACAGCGGCCCACTGTCGACATAAAGCTGTCGCTACCCGGATAACAAAGATGATGCAGGGACCGCGCGGTGGAGGAGGAGTTACGTGACCAACTGTGGTGACGAGATGTCGCGAAAAATTCGGGACAGTCCCGAATTCTAAGCATTTGTCCGGAATCTGGCTGTGCCTGCCCCAAAATTTAAACTTATACCAAAAAATAACTTTTTAACCTCAGGTAAACATCTCACACTATTAGCTTCTGCAGTTTGCGCAGCGAAGTAGCTGCGTGCCGTCACGGCTACAATGTATCTAATTTGTTATCTTTCTGACTTTCTAATTCCATTTGATTGCAACTGTAAGAGTTTTATTGCCCATATAATCACATCTGATTAATATAGGCTACTAAAGATTTGAATAGCATAGGCCTAGATGTGACAAGCTTGGAAAAATGCTATTTTTTATTACTGTACATGTAAGCTAGCCCACCCACCTGCGCGCCCCGTCACGAATTTCTGCCAACCTCATCAGGTCACCCCATCTCAGGAGCTGTACTTGGTTGTGAATGTGCATTTTTTTTAAGTGGAAAGGGCGAGTCTTTTTAAAAAAAAAGTGAAAATCCTCCACTATACCTTTAATTAAAATCCTCCTATTATAAAGGGAAAAAGAGCGAAAGTTGCTTCATCGTTCCTGCTTCCTCAGAATTGATATCAAGCATTCGACTTGGCCTCCGTAAAGTTTAGAGTTTCAGCTCAATTTCCTCCTAAATAACAAATAAAACCAACTTTAAATGATTGGTTGAAAATATCTTCTAAATATTTACAGAAAAATGAGAGTGGATCCAGCAGTTAAGCAGGCGTAGAAAACAAGAAAATACAAACTTTTTTTAACCACAGTTTATTTTTCTCCACATTTTCATACATCGGATCAACATCAGAGCAAAATACAGAATCATGAAGCTGCCTGGGAAATGGCGTTCCATACGGAGCGGCATAAAAACGAAAACTAAACCACTTCTTACCGATTCTTTCAGCATAATGTAAAAAAGGCAAATGTATGGAGTGAATTCTGCTCCAATATTGTTAAAAAGAGCATGTTTTGTAAATTGAATTTCAAACAAAGAGGCAATCCAGAAAAAAAACGTCTTACTAAAGGAAAGGTTTTTTTTTTTTTACCAGATTTTATTTTTTGAGCTGATATTTTTTATTTTATTTCTTCAAAATCCTTTTACAGATTTTATACAGTTGATTTTTTTTCTCCTAAATTTCTCTTTTTCAGTTTGAGTTTTTCTGATTTCTTTCTTTTCAAATACAAGATCTGCAAAAAACATGTAATTCAGATTATTTTTTTTTTTAAATAAATCTTAAAACAGCAAAAACAACTTTTAACAGCTGATTTGAAAAAAAAAAATATGAAAAAGTTTCTCAAAATTTAATTTCTGGATTACTTTTTTTTTAAATTTCCATTTACAAAACACGTCGTTTGTTTGAAACATTAATGGACCAAACTTCACCCCATACAAAGGTAGACATGAATGACTCTGAAGGTCACAGCGTACTGATGGAGCTCCAGCTGCTCCGGACGTACCGGGAATCCAATCCAGATTCAGGAATGTTTGAGGAAAGACTGTAAGAAACCATCCGGGTCACTGAATCAGAAGGTTCAGATCTGATTTAACAGAAGAAAACATGCAAACCTCCAGGATGATCTAATAAATCATGATGTTTACGGATTTCATAGTTTTGATCATTTCTAATAAAAATAAAAAGATTGTTTCATCTCCAGTTTGCAGAACATGAGTCTGCAGCATCGGCGGGCGTTTGCTTCAGCTCCGTCCTCTTAAAAGTCCATCCGGGACGGAAGGAGAAGATATTACTGCTAAATATTTCATTTTCCAGTGAAAACATCAAAACCTCACAAAAGCACAAAAACAACAGACAGGAAACAGGATATGACACGAAACATTCAACCACTGAGAATCAAGGCTCTGCAAAAAAAAAAAAAAAAAAGTACCCAGAGGGGATAAAAACTGTCATTATTGTCCCTTTGATAAATGATAAAAACTATTAGAACTGCAGTGAAAATAATACCTGTTTGGTGTAAATGAGTTAAAGATGCGAGGCGATAATGAAGCTGCGGCGGAGTGAACATGGTCGGATCTAAACTGAGCCAAAAGGAAGGAAAGATCCAGGTGGTCTGAAGGAGACTAGCTCCAAACATGGGTGAGAGATGGACCCGGAAAGGAGAGCGAGGGCCTAATGCTGCGTTCACACCAAACGGGTTTGGGTTTGAAGTCTATGGAAGTGTTTTCAGCGCTGCAGGAGGGAACTCTGGCATTTTACAGCTGGATACTGAACATTAACCAATCAGAGAAGCTGCCTGGGAGACAGATGCTGCATATAAGCAGTGATCTCTGCTTCTGCTGAGCTGAAAGCAGCAAACTACCAAATATAAAGCAGTTAAACTGCACCGGTTTTACCTGAAAAGGCAGGAGGATGGAGAGAGACAGTGCTCTGATCATTATGACTCCCCTAAAATATTCTCTGCCTTAACGTTGGATAAACCGTTCATAAACACCTACGATAACTAAAAATGTTTTTACCACAAACCGCAAAATGCTTCATACTCACTTTCAGCTGCTATGAAGAGCAGCGGGAAATCCCCGACCGCCTGGACGCTTCAAAACCAGCTCACACTGTTTCTCCAAAATCATGAGAAATAAAGTCGAGCTGTTCTGAAAGGAAAGGAGAGCAGAGCGGCGAGCGTCTGATGCTGCGGCGTTGGACGCCTCTCTGAGAACGTGTTTAGTGTGAACGCAGCACTGAACCTCTACTCCAGGTCTGAACCAGCTGGTCTCTCAGAGCTACAAGCAGCTGCAGGTCCAAACCTGCTGGTTCACACCACTGATCTCTATTTATTCACTGGATTGCTCATTGCACGGAAAAAGTGAAGCCACCGTCCGCCATGTTGGTACTCCCCACTCCCAGAGACATGCATTAAAAATGCCTCCCTGTGCAGCATTTGGCT